TGTAGTATTATTGATGATGAAGCAAACAAAAATAGATTTGTACGTGTGTTTAGTGTTTTTAATAACTTGCAACCTATTCTTTTTAAGCGAAAATTTCTTTCTGATGCCGAAATTTCTGAGCTTCATCAATATATAAATTTATTTGCTATTGAGTTTCATGCTTGCTTTCCAAAAGAAAGTATCACGCGAAAAATGCATGAACTCATTTTCAATGTGCCACTATTTGTAAAATTGCATAAAACTATTGGGTTGCTGAGTGAAGAGGAGGGAGAGTGTTTGCATAATAGCGTAAATAAGGAATTAAGGCAGTTGCATTTAGTTAGAAATCAGGAGTAAAAGCTGCATCTTGTTTTAAAACGCTTTGAATTGCACAGCAAAGCTGATAGGAAGCTTCAAGCCTCTAAGGTGAGAAAGTGTAATGTGTGTTCAGAGCGTGGCGAAAATTCATTTTATAGACAAGGTCTTTGTCTTGTTTGTGGTCATCAAATTTAGTTTAAATGTTTGAAAAGTTAAAAAAAAAATTAAACTTTTTACATCTAAGATAAATTATATAAGATCCTTAATTTACAAATATGAGAATTCTATTCTGTTTTAATGCCTGTAATGTTTGTTCAAAATAATAATATTTTTTTATTACAATGATTTTATATATTAGGTAGATGCCCATTCTGTTCCTATTTTCAAAAGTTTATTATATCTATGCAATGCCTTTGCTCAGGTTAAAGAATGGAATAAAAGTCTAGCATCAAATGTATAGCTAACTATTTTAATTTGTGATCAGAGCAACTGGTATGTTTGTTGGATATGATTTTGTATGTTTATGTAGTTAATTCAAAAAACGTTTTATCCTTTGTTATGTAATATGTAACATTTTATATATATATTAGATCTCCGTTCAATTTTTATCATCAAAACTTAGTTCTACCTTCGCAGGACCTCTGCTCTACATACCTCCTCTCTGGTTAAAGAATGGAATATAAGTCTCATTTATCAAGTTGGTGTAAAAATTTAGCTTGATAAATTAAGAAGTTGTAAACTTTATTATCACAATTACCAAGTTGACCAAATGTTCTTCTGGTTTTAAATGAATTATGTATGAGTCTAGTATCATCTGGGTGTTCAAAGATAGTTTACTGCTTGAAGAACTTATCAATGGACCAACTAATTATAAAACAGTTTTTAATGAAAATAAAAACGAATTATCAAAAGTGTGTATATTTGTGTATATTTAAACATTTTATTTTTTGTGAGAAGAGATTATTGATACAAGTACCATAAAATAATTCTACTACCAAAAGCTAGGTTAATTCAAAACCTTTAACTCAATTTTGGTCATGAATTATTTTATTAGAATTGATGAGTTTTTATTTATTAACTACCTAACACCATATTATTAGAACTTTATTTTGTAATGTAATGATTTTATCAGCGTTCCAAAATAATTTTCTAAATCAAGAACTTCTATATTAAAAAAAGTACTCATTTAACAACTAATCCCCCCTTATAACGACGTTTTTCATAATTTTGCGAAAAATGTGGTTTGATTCACAATTCGATTAAGGCTGTTTTAGTTAACCTTAAATAATTAAGTAAGGTTTTTTTGTTTTCACTATTGTCAAACAATAAGTGTATTTGATAATAACTATTAGGAATATATTTTTCTAATTTTTTTTTGATAAAAAGTAACATCAAATTACAAAAATTTAGCCAAATTCAATATATGTCATTTTTATTCTAAACTAAAAGAAGTTTTTCTACTAATGCATTAAATGTCATAAGGTAAAACATTTTATTGATGTCTTAATTGTTTTTACAAAACAAAATTACCTCTTATATTTCAAAAGTTATAAAAGTTTTAGTAACACCCCTTTAGTCAATATTTTCAAAAATTAACAAGAAGCCGTTAAGCTCGGTTTGAAACAGCCGTGCCTATTGACGTCGCTAAGACCTACATTAGACGTCCTAATTACCTTAGAAATAAGTATAAAAATTAATATTTTCAACTTGGCGCATACAATATTATGCGCTAACTCGGTTAATTAAATATGTCTACTTGTTTTGGTTGATTATTTTGAGATTATTAATTTTGTTTAGTTATTTATCGTTTAAAGATATTTTTTTTTAATTTTCTATATTCTATACTCTATGATCTATAAACTATAATCGATACAATATTTAAAGAAAAGAAAATTGAGTTTAGTTATTAAGTGTAACTAAGTTACAAGTATAATGAGGGAATTTTAACAAAAGACATCAAAATTGCACTTAGACTTTTCACTTCACTTTGTGTTTTATAGAATAGTAATAATATTTTGTATGTCTGTGTTATATATATATATATAAATATATATATATATATATATATATATATATATATATATATATATATATATATATATATATATATATATATATATATATATATATATATATATATATATATATATATATATATATATATATATATATATATATATATATATATATATATATATATTATATATATATATATATATATATATATATATATATATATATATATATATATATATATATATATGTTATTGATTTAATAAAAAACATTTTTAAAACATGCGTAAATGTTGCTACATCGACTATCTTATAGCCTGACTCGCAACGGAGTGCTGCTACATCGACTGACAAATAGCCTGACTCGCAACGGAGTGCTGCTACATCGACTGACAAATAGCCTGACTCGCAAGGGAATGCTGCTACATCGACTGACAAATAGCCTGACTCGCAAGGGAATGCTGCTACATCGACTGACAAATAACCTGACTCGCAAGGGAGTGCTGCTACAACGACTGACAAATAGCCTGACTTGCAAGAGAGTGCTGCTACATCGACTGAGGGTTTGGTTTGGCCAGGCAGTCTATCAATTAAAAAAAAAAATTTAATTTTTAAAACGTTTTCTGGTCTGGTTTATTAACGCGCTCTTTAAAACTACAGTTTATGGGAAACTTTTTTTGATGCCATGCAAGAGACATGCAAGAGTATATATATATACATATATATATATATATATATATATATATATATATATATATATATATATATATATATATATATATATATATATATATATATATATATATATATATATATATATATATGTATGAGTGTGTGTGTGTGTGTGTGTGTGCGAGCGCGCGTTTGGGTATGAGTAGCGATTCTTTACAGTTTTTTGCGTTAGACATAAACCCTATAATTTTTTTGAACTTTACTTGTTTATGTATTCTTTTAAGGTTAAGCATGAAACTTGAGATTTTTTGCATTATTCAGTTTAAATCTAACTCTTCTCAACCATATATAGAAATACTATTTACTATTTACTACTTTATATTATACTATTTACTACTTTATATACTATTTATATGGCTTTACTTATATATTTTATTTTTCAAAGTTTCAGAAAAAAATTTTATATTCCAACTTGCTGAAATGAAAAAAAATTTTAGTAGATAGAACTGCACTGTTCTCTAATAATCCAGAAGAAGGTTTTAAACAACGTAAAAGTTCAGATAAACTTAATGTTTTGAAGAAAAAAAATTCGCAAATGGAGATATCCAATACATCACTATTGTATACATGAGTTTCATCTTTAAAGTTTGTATGTTATATATTATTACAATATTTATTTTAAATTGTCATAAACATTTTCAATGTTTCTTATACATTGTTTCTTTTTAGATAAAACAGTTATCATTAATTGGCGATAAAAATCTAGCTGATACAATTGAAAATAATTTGCTCTTGTAAGTAATTAGCAAAAATTTGAATTTTAAAATTTATGATTGACAGTAGAGCATTTATCTTCTTTTTTATATATGTAGACTGCCAACAGACAATATTTTGTCAGAATACAGCATGAATTGTCTAAAGAAGAAAAAAAAGTTTAAAGAGTTGACAAGTCTATGTAACTCTGTCACTGGTATTCTTATTAGCTTATTAATGTGTTTGATTAATTAAAAATTAAAAATGATGTTTTAATTAAAAAAAAATAATAATATTTTTTTTGGCTCTGGAACATGACATGTATTCAAGTGTATGTATGACATATATATTTTATTTTATGATCTTATTGAAACATGTTTTGTTGTTTTTATTAGAAGCTGCTTTAAAGTCAAATAATAACTTAACCAAAATGGATGCTATCCAACTTATTGGGAGAGTAATTAGGCATTCTTCTGACCGAATAAAGAAAACATCGACTAATATGGATTTCGATCAATGTCGGCTTAATTAAATGTTGTATTTTTTATTTTTTTTTCCATTTTTAAGCATTTTTCTTCTATTTATAATGCACTATCGATTATATTTTACAGTACCTATTAGTTTTTAATTTGAAAAATGTAACTTTGTTTGAAAAATTATTCTTATTTTTTGTAAAGTTATTAATTTGTTTTAAATATATCAAATTACACTTTATTTACATTCACTTCTTTTTATAACTTCCCTTGCCTAGATTAAAGCAAATCTAAAGTGTGTGTTGTAAATCATTGCATTTTTATATAACTTTTAAAAGAATGTCTTGGTAAAATTCAAATGTCTCTAGGACGTCTGAAAAAGACGTCCTTAAGTCTTTCATATGAGACCAGCCAGAGACGTCTCTAGAACGTCTGGAAAAACGTCTCTAGGACGTCTTGAAAAAACGTCTTTAGGACGTCTGGAGTAGACGTCCTCAAGCCTTTCATTTAAGACCAACTAAGGATGTCTTACGGACGAGACTTAGGACGTGTTACGGACGTCCTTAGGACGTCAAAATGCCCGCTGGGTAATAATATTTTAGTCTATTTGTTTTGATTGGAATGTTAAATAAATGAGTTTCATTGATAAAATAAGTTTAAGATTTGAATTTCAAAAAACTTAGTTTCTCTTCGACCTTGTTTCATAAATATTTTAGTATGTATCAAAATTGCAAAGTAAAATATTATAAAGCCATACATGTAATAAATATATAATCCTTAAGCAGTTTAAATATGTATTTAACAACCTTAGATTCATTAGAACTTACATCAGAATCTGAAACGTCAGAAGAAGAGGATGCTTTGCATATCGAATTTATTCAACCAAGAATAAATGGAGCAGTTTCTTTAGATCTTTCTCATGTTGAAAATAACAACACCAGCAATATTGTAGTAACTGGTGGTAATATAGCTGAATTGCAACCACTGCAAAATCGTTTTTGTAAGACCAATCAATCTAATAATGATAATGGTAATAGCAATATTTTTATATGGGATGACATTCCTAGACAACAAAGAGAATTTCCATTTGCTGCAATCAATAAAGTGAATAAAGTTCCTGAGAAGCATGATTGTCCACTTGCAGTACTGAAGACATTTTTAACAGATGATATTATCAACAATATTGTCCAATACACAAATAGGTATGTTCAGCTTGCTAAATTAACTCCAGAAATAATCCAAAAAATGGAAACAAAAAAAAGAAGTTGCTTCAACTTATGGGTTGATTTGACATTTGATGAACTTTGGATATACATTGCAATAATATCTCTAATGGGAATAGTAAACAAGCCTAATTTTCATATGTTTTGGACTAAAGACCATATATTTTCTACACCTATTTTTTCCAGACTCATGCGTCGTGATCGATTTGAGTCTATTCGTAAAATGATGCATTTTACATATCCTGGAAATAAAAATCATGATGATAGTTTGTGTAAGCTTAGGTCTTTGATAGATAGTTTATCAAAATGTTTTTCTGAAAATTACACTCCTGAGCAAAATGTCTCAGTAGATGAGTATCTTTCCCTTTGGAAAGGTCGTTTGAAGTTCCGCGTTTTTATCCCAACTAAGCGTGAACGCTACGGAATCAAATTATACATGTGTTGTGAAAGTAAGATTGGTTATTTGTATCGCTTTATAATATATACTGGTTCAGATATAGACTATCCTGCACCTAGTAACATTACATTTCCAAAAGCATTTGATGAGTATGCAAGTTACTCAAAAGTAGTATTGTCATTAATAGATGGACTGGAAAAACAAGGTTACTGTGTAACGATAGGTAATTTATACACTTCACCTGAACTTTTGACGGCCTTATTTTATAACCAAACTGATTGTTTTGGCACACTGCGTCGAAAAAAAGGACTTCCTGGGACTTCTGGAATTGGAAGCCTTCTAAATGCATAGGTCAACCAGTTTTGAAAATGTTTTGTGCCTAAAAAATTATGATAATGAGATGGAATGATCCCTACAAAACCAAATCAACAAAAATTGTTTCAATGATGTCAACAAAACATACTGGTCAGTTAGTTGAAACTGGAAAAGTTCACTTCTCTTTGAAAAGTCCCATTATAAAACCAGATGTTGTATTAGAATACAATAAAACAATGGGTTGTGTAGATACCTTGAGCCGTGTTAGTATCCCCTATTCCATACAGCGGAGAGGTTTAAAATGGTTTAGAAAGATTGGGGAGCTGCTTATTGATTTTTGCATTTATAATTCAGTCATTTGGAAAAAATTAAATAAAAGCACCACCAGCCAACTCAAGTTTAGACAATCACTTGTAAAAACGATACTTATGTATCATCTAAACAAACAAGCACCAATTCAAATTGGACGCGGAGAACCAGTAAATTATTTCAACAACCCTTTAAGACTTTTTGAAAGACGTTTCATAACTCAAAAAAATCAATCCCTTGGTCGGAAGCGTAGTAAATGTGTCTGTTGCTTGAAGATTGGCAAATGCAAGGAGACAAGCTATGAATGTCGCATGTGTGCTGTAGCACTATGTGTCACACCGTGTTTTGAAATACATCACACACAACGTGATATTACATCATTAAGAGATAGTTCGTCATGCGACAGTGAACAATCTTGAAGTGATCATGGTTTAAAATCTATTGATATGTCTTTTCATATATTTCTATTCAATAAAGATATTTTGTTTGTTTGTTGAAAATTTTTTCAAATTTTAGCAAAAACAATTAGTGTAATAATTTTAAAATTTGGAAAAAATTAAAGTTGTTCTTGATTTTATTGTTAATATTTTATTTGAATATACTTATGGGATACTAAAAATATTATTTTTATTACATAAATATATATTTCCACCTGTTTTTTTTTCATAAATGTCTATATATAAATGTCCAGTGTGGTGTTATCCTTTATGAATTATGTAAATATAATCATTTACCTTTTATAAAAACTTTACTTCAAGAATTAGACATAAGGATAATTTTTTTTTTTGCTAAAAAAAAAAATTGCGCGTTGAGTGGTCAAACATTAAAAATTAAGCGGAGTGTAAAGGTTAAGTTTGGTGTTTGCAATATGTATATTTAACTGAGAATTTATGTTAAATAAACAAATTTTTATACTTTTATTATACATTCTTTTTTTTCTCTATAAAATATTCAATGTAGCGATGCAAATCATCTTATTTGTAACAACGATCTAATGTTGCATAAAACGTTAGGCCAATATATAACATACGATATTGGGCCAATGTTGTATACAACGTGAGGCCAATTTTGTATACAACGTTTGACCAATGTTGTTTACACTATTGGCCTAACGTTATATACAACGTTGTGCAAATGTTAGGTAAACGTTGTATAAAGCATTGGGACAATGGTGTGCACAACGTTGGGCCAACACCTAACCAATGATCAAAACTGCATTGGGCCTACATCAACTTTCAACGTTGGACCAATGCATCACCATGCATTGGCCCCACGTTGGTCCAATGTAAGATTGCTGTCTCGGAATGTATAAAACTAAAGTTGTTAACTGTTGTACGCATACTATATATGATAATCATCAAGGTATTAATTTTAAAAACAATAAAACCGAATAATGTCTCAAAAATACGGAATATAAAAAGAGTTTTTTCGATTTAAATCAGACATAAAAAAATAATATTTGAATTGAGTTTTTTTGTTTAAATTGTTTTTAATGATTATTTATAAATTTAATTTTATAATTCAATTAATTATTATAGACTAATCATTGGTTATAAAATAAAAAGTCTAGCAATATTAAAAAGCTCTACATAAGTAGAGCATAAATTCTAGTAACAATACTTTTTGTACACTGTTTTAATATGTTAGTAGATGGGGTTTCACAATCAATCACATAAAAAATTAAACAAAAGAGACATTTCTAAAATGTAAAATAACGGCTTCTTACAACTTCAATGCCACATATAATATATATTAATAAAGGTATCAATAATATATATGGTATATATTATTAATACCTTTAATAATATATCTTATAACAGCTATATAATCTAAACTGTTATAAATAAATAATAGAAAAATTTTATTTTTTAATTATTACTGTATGACATTTCAAATGTTTGATTTATTCAATAAAGAAGACATTTAAAATATTTTTTTTATTAAATAAATCGAACATTTAAAATGTTTAACTTTTAGATATATATATATATAAGTATATATACATATATATATATATATATATAAGTATATATATATATATATATATATATATATATATATATATATATATATATATATATATATATATATATATATATATATATATATATATATATATATATATATATATAAGTATATATATATATATATATATATATATATATATATATATATAATATATATATATATATATATATATATATATATATATATATATATATATATATATATATATATATATATATATATATATATATATATATATATATATATATATATATATATATATATATATATATATATATAAGTATATATATATAGACTCATACATACAGACTCGTTTAGGTGAGGTATTGAAAATTGTAACATCAATTTTCATAGAAATATGGTTTTTCATTGATAATTTTCCCAAATAATTTTTGATTAGAAATGTCAAATTACATTCATTGAAAACAAACATCCAAATGTGCTTTTATTAAAAAATTGTGTTCATTGACTTATCTATAGCCAAGCTCCAACGTACTTTGTGTTAAAACTTGTATCTTTTTTAAATACAACTATACTTGACGATTTGTTTTAGCCGTATTTTTACCAGATTATAATAGTAGTTAAAAAAATCTTTAGAGATATACCAAATATATCATACTTTTTGATGAAAAAATTTCCATGCATTGTAATTGAAAAAACTTATATTTTTGTTCGAAAAAACGTGTACCAGACATTAGTTGCATTGAGCAACCAAGTAAAAATCAAAAAGTACAACTTAAATCCAAGTTACTAACATTTTGATAATTTTATAAAATGCTTCCTGTTACAGTTACTAGGTTTTTCTGATAATTAGATTACTATTAAATTTGTTTCACGAGAGACGCATTAATTTTCAATAGGATCGAATGTTTGAAGCCTCCCGTTAAATGAAGGGCTCATCCGTACCAGGGTATTGGGAGACACCGAAGAAAAAGCAGCAACCAAAAGGTTGTAAATGTCTTCTATCAGTAAAGATATTTATGACTTTTTGGTTGCTGCTTTTTTTTTGGTGTTTTTTTTTTTAATTTTGTAAATAATTTTAATTTTGTAATTTTTTTTTAATATATATTATGTTGTATATTTGATTTGTTTTGATCTTTTTTAATGAAAATTTTAATTGTTTTCTCACCAATTAAATCTGACTTCAAATTTAAAGCCCTCTTAATTACCCCTCCCTAAAATCTGATGTCGAAAGTTGAATTGATTCATTATCCAATTATTATAATATAATGATGCTGCATTCTTTTGTTAAAAACATTTATTTGGTAGGTTTCATTCATTGAACTCACTGCTTTTAAAGTTTACCAAAACCAAAGCAATATATTTAGCTATATAAATACAATTTATTTATCTCGATTCGATTCTTCATCTTTTATGTTTATCGTTTGGCTCCTTGAAGTATTTTATGTTTTACTTTTTTTATTATGAGTATTTTAAATCCGTTGTGATGTCTTTTAAATTAAACTGAAGTTTACTAAAATCCAACATAAAAAATACGTTTTTGAACAACACCAAAAAGAACAGCTGCATCTCTACAGCAACTGCTGCAATATCACAATAGATCACAATAGGTTACCAAAAGCAGGTATACTGTTTTCCAGTTATTGTTTTTTTTTTTTTTTCATATATATATCTACTTATCTATATAATACTATAGTACGATTGTTTATATCTCATACATTTTTTTTTTCAATATCTTTAAATGTTAATAATTTTATTCTTTGAATGAGATTAGTTAAACAAGTTGGCTTTCCATCAAAGATATTGGTTTTAAAATTGAACTCCATTGGCAAAATGCTTACAAAATTGGGTAGTTTTAAAAATCTGTTTTCTATTTAATACACTTTTTTTTTAAATATACTTTTTAAATATACTTTTTAATATACTTTTCTATAACAATCTTACTAATATGGAATCACGTAGCATTTTAAATATGTTTAATTGTCGTCCCTATCGGTAATAAATATTTAAAATTATTTGATATGGTTTACTTTACAATAGCCATTGTTTGGCTCCTCGGTGCTGTAAATGGTGGCTTCAGCTTAGTTTTTTTAAGAAAAATGTGTTTTATATATGCTTCTGTTTTAAAATATTTTTGTTTCATATTTAACTATATATCATGTAAATAAATTTCTTTTAAAGATATGTTAACTTGATACTTGTTTTTTACGGATTTTCAAAATGTGAAGAAAGGTTTAAATATATTTTTTAACTGTCTAATATGATTTTATCAATTTTATTAAAGCTGAATAATTACTTCAAAAATATTGAGTAAAATCCAATTGCTTTAATTATTAACCTGATCTATACAAAAATTTATGAAATAAAACTAATAATTTAACGCCAAGTTAAGGCAAAATGTATTCCGGACATTTTATAAAATTAGTATAAATATGGATTGGATATATGCTAAAATAAATATGTTGATACACGTAAGCTATTAAAGTAAATCCATATATTCCTTTATTGTTTTTTTATAAACAAGTTTCTGCTGGATTACTAATTAAAAAAAGGATTGGTTTAATAATAATCTTTATCATAATAATATAGGATCCGTATGCAGGGCTAAGCCCTTTTCGGAATTGCGATATATTTTTCAACTTATAGTTTTTCCGGATATACAACTTCTATGCCCACAAGTTTGGGTGAAATATTTTAGATGTTTTAAAAATATTTAAAAAGTATATTATTAATATTGAAAAGTTTAGGTGCGATAGTGACATTTTTAAGCTCTTCACTCAGTAAAATGAAAGATTTAAAAAAAAAAGAAACGACTCAGCTTAAAGCAAAATTAAAAGTAGAATATATTCCCAATATTTACCTAAACAATTTTACGGAATTTGAAAATTTGACATCGGTGTTCTGTGCATATAATTCAAGTCATTTTTAACTACTACATGGTTGTGATTTGCGCATTCAATGTCTGAACATTGCAAAAGAAATGGTTAACTTTATCTTTAATGAAGATAAGAGTTCTCTTAAACTAAGAAGCCAAGAAAAAAAAAATTGAGCTTAACTAAAAAAATGTATAAATAAACTTATATTTCATTAGAGAAAGTAAATAAAGATCAAATTGTTAGTAATGATTTATTTACTACTAACCCGTATTACGGGTTGCTTACTGCTAGTACAAATATTAATTACTTTCTCAAATTACATTACATAATTTAATAGTTCCTCAAAATGTAATTTACATTTACATTTAAAAACAGTTTATAAAAAAAGTATTATATTACCGTAATTGAGAAAAAACTTTTATATAAAAAAGAATTACACAAAGTAATTGGTGACTAAATATACAAAAATATTTACTTATAAAATAATATTATATAAATTGTTATTTTTCATTTTATTAGTAAAAAAAATTTTTGTAAAAACTAAATTATATAAAAAAAAAATTCTATTATATAAGCTTAAATCTTAAATAATTTTTAAAACAAACTAAAAATAATTTATATTTATAAGTAAGTAAACTTACTTATATTCTAAAATAAATTAGAGAGGATATTGCGCAACTAATTGAAATGCAAAAAGTACAACTTGCATCTAAGTAACTAACAATTAGTTTTTGGCGACATTTTTTGTGAGCGGTTTTAACTTTATTTTCCCTTGTAAATTGTATTAGTATTGGTTTATAAACATCAAAATGCTGCCGATTAAAACCATTCTTACTCCCGGTCCATAAATATATAGGGCAGTACTAGACAATTTGATGGTAGGCAGGTTTAGGCGGCAGTCATAAAATATTCAAGAGGACCGCTTTTTTAAATTGTTAAATCACTTTAAATGTTGTAACACTAAAAAAAAAAAAAACTACTTTTAAAATAACCCCGGGCAACCCACAATCTCAATCCGTTTATGGTTTTAGCTATTAAAACTATTCTTTGGGCTTATATTTTTGGCTTACTACAGTATGCCAAATTATAATAAATATGTATGTTTGAAAAAATATAATCTAACATATGCTGTGCCATGAATGGTTTAATATCAGAAGCTATTATCGATAATATTATAAATGCTTCCGTTACAGTTACTAGTTATAAAAAAGAAACGTTGCAATTAGGGTTGTTCGCCGAAAAACAAAACTTACGAAAATTTCGCATTTTTATCTTCCGTAATAGAATTGTTATTGCGGAAGTTGCACATGCGAAAATGCACATTCCGTAACGCTCTAAACGAAAATATAAATAAATAAAATTCCGTAATAACGCATTACGAAAGAAGACTTGCGAAACAAATCATTTCGTAAGAATACTTACGAAATAGTTCATTACGGAAGGAGCATTCCGGAATGTGCAGTTACGAAAAAGACGCAAAAGATTTTATGTTACGATATATTTAAGATATTAACTGTTAACAGTTTAAATAATAAATAATAAAATTATAAAAAAATGTTGTCAAATGATTCTTCAAATGTTTATACAAATATACCTTTTATATATATATATATATATATATATATATATATATATATATATATATATATATATATATATATATATATATATATATACATATATATATATATATATATATATACATATATATATATATATATATATATATATATATATATATTATATATATATATATATATATATATATATATATATATATATATATATATATATATATATATATATATATATATATATATATATATATATATATATATATATACATTAACGGGATTTTACTGTATATATATGTATATATATATATATATATATATATATATATATATATATATATATATATATATATATATATATATTCATATATATATAAATATATACATATATATACAGTAAAATCCCGTTAAGTTGGACTCTCAATGAACAGATAAACAGTATGCCTTTCTTTTTAAAAAGTATAAAGAGGATGTGTGATAAACAATTAAATACTTTATTATAAAGAACGAGAGATCTCTCTAAAGGTAAATGATATCAGCAAAGAGTAAAAAGAGAAGAAATATATGTGAAACAGCGGGATGTGAACCTGGGCCTACGCGGCCAAATGTCTTAACTGAATGAGCTATACGTTAATTCAACTAAGTGAATAGTAATATTTATTTAATATACAATTAAGAAACTATATAAAACAGAATTTACAGAAAGAGATACGAATGCAAATAGGATTCTATATATCAGGAAAATGAATAGTAATGTGAACCTTTAGATGCTTGTAATTAATATCTGGACTCAAAAACTAGTTACTTTTAATGGAACACATTTGGCTGTAGGAGCCTCAGGGAAATTATATTCAGAAATGGTTATATTAGACTCAGAGTTAGCTAGAAATTATTACAAAATATTTAGGACAGATGTCTAGTACAAAAAGCAAAAGATTTAAAGCAAAATGATTTATATTATTTGAAAAAGTTGTTTTACGTACATTTCATCATAATTTAAGTAGAACTTAGTAAAGCAAGGGAAACGTGTTGAATTAAGCACAATGAACTCAATCTTAAAAGAATAACTAACAGAAGAGAGGTTGTCACTATTGTGAAGGTGACGAAAGATCTGTAATATAGAACATGGAGGTCAAAAAATGCTATCTTAAGTAAAAAGAGTTTGATGAACAAAAGTTACAATGGCTGCGGGATGCGAACCGGGATCTCTGAGGCGAATTATCACGTATCTAACTGATTGAACTATACAATCTTATACTCAAATTTATATCTTATTAAAATTAAAAAACAATATTTTCTAAGATCTATACTTCGAAAAGCGTATTCAAACAGGACTCTACATACCTTTAAAATCTGCTAGAACTTTAGTAACGTGAACACTTTTAGAAATTATTGAAATAGGTATATTTTATCAGAAATATGCTTAAGCTAAAGCATATTTTTGAGCCTCTTTTTACTATTTGCTTAAGCATATTCGAACCTGTTTCAAAAATTTCATATGCTATTAAAAAAAAAACATGTATATTCCTACCCATCATTCTTATTTTTAATATACGTAATGAGTTCAAAAAACATCGTTGTATATATTTATTATGGCACGTTTCGTAAGTTGATTTCCGTTAAGAATTCTTTCGTATGTTGTGATCCGAAAAACTTTCGTTTCGAAAGAAATTTTATTTTTTATTAATATTTCTAAAAATAAAACCATAAAAATTTAATAGTTATTATACTGAAAATAAAAATTCATTATAAACATTTTGGGATTTAAAGATGTTAATTTTTACAATTAAAATCAGTCTGGCAAACAAATTTTCTTTATAGACTTCAAAACGTCGTTTGGCGAAAATGTTTGTTTCGCAAGTGCGACTTCCGAAACCGCTATTTTCGTATGTTGCAAAATAGTTTTGTTTCGTATGTCAACTTGCGAAATGCTAAATTTCGGAAGTGGCTTTTGCGAAATGAACATCGGCGATTTTAAATGTTTTGTAACATTCGGTACGAAAAAATGTAATTCCGCGTTCTCAATCTCCTTACGAAAGAATGTTGTTTTTCCGGAATTGCACGAAATCCTCCGGTTAACAACCCTAGTTGCAATATACATCAAAAACATTAAAATAAACTGTGATTCTAAAGTTCTTATTAAAAGACAACAAAAACGCAAAAAATTGTTATTAAAAAAGTATTAAAAGAGAAATGGTAAAATAAACTATAGTTTAGTTCTTTTAATAACTTATAAGCAGCTGTTGCGGTTTTCGAAAAGTCTAATTTTTTTTTAAGGTTAAAATTAGTTTCAAAAGGTTGAAAACATTATTTTTCAATTATTTTAAAAGACTGGGAATTCTTTAAAAAAACAAATTAATTAAAAGGTACTATTTTATTCGAATTTAAATATTACTTGTGCGGCTTGGCCACAAAAGCAACTGAAAAGAAGGCTGTTGCTAATAACTTTTTGTTTTTAGTAACTTAGGTCCCGACCCAACGGGCATTTGATGGTTTAAAATTGGTTTAGATCACGTTTAGATGGCATTTACGTTGATCTAAACGTTTAGGAACCTATTCTAAACGTGTTCTGAATATTTAATTTGCGTTGAAAAGCTAAATCAAACGATTTCCGTACGGAATAAATTAGTTTCGCACAAAATGTGTCGGACATTTTGAATCTTTCATTATGGTAAAAAATTAGAATTTCTTATGAATCTTAAATTATGTAATAAATGGTTTAGAAAAGATAAAAGAAATTTGTTTTTAGTATTATACTGTGGCTAATGAGGCAGCTAAAAAGTCCTGTAAGTTCTTCGATAATGTTGTATAAGCGATTAAAAGTAATTTTAAGTACAGTAACTATGTATTTTGATAATTCTTTTAGTTATTGCTCTAATATAGCAGTTTCAAAAAAGTAGCAGCAGTTTCAAAAATGTATCAGTTTCAGCATTTTTTAAAATTATTTATTAAATTGTTTTTTCTGTTTGGTTTTTAACAACGCTATAGAACGTCTATAGTTAACTCTTAGCTTCCTAATTTTTCTACCACTTGCATTAATTTTTTCTAAAAGTTTTAGAGAAAAATTATGCATTTTAAATGGTAGCTACTTTTTAAATAACTAAACAAAATTACTATTTTTGTTTACATTAAGACCTAACATCTATTTGTTTATGTCTGTTTATGTCAGCAGCAGTTTCAAAAATGTATCAGTTTCAGCATTTTTTTAAATTATTTCTTAAATTGTTTTTTCTGTTTGGTTTTTAACAACGCTATAGAACATCTATAGTTAACTCTTAGCTTCCTAATTTTTCTACCACTTAAAATGCATTAATTTTTTCTAAAAGTTTTAGAGAAAAATTATGCATTTTAAATGGTATCTACTTTTAAATAACTAAACAAAATTATTATTTTTGTTTACATTAAAACCTAACATCTATTTGTTTATGTCATAAACAGATCAATATAACATCTTTCATTAACTATGATAGATGTTATATTGATCGAATAGCAATGTTATAATGTTTATACTTTTAGTGCAGACAGTGCCAATCAAAAATTTTGAGGTTCAAATATTTATATAATGGAGCTTTAGTTTTAGTGTAGGCTTTTAGTGTAAACTAAAAAATATTTTTAAAAATTTAAGTATTATTCATACTCCTATATGATAACCACTTAAGAGAAAATAAACTTACTTATGTCTGATATGATAGATTATTATATTGTATCATTTATTTTCTATTTAGTAGAAAAATTAACACGGCTTGAACAATAATATATATACTACATATAATATAGCTATATTATATAATTTTCTGAAATCCACGCAAATATATTTTTTATTGTTAATTAAGTTTTGCGTGTTTAATTTCATTTAATATTTTATATACAGTCCAGTCAGTTGCAACAACAAGTAAAGCAGCAGGAAACAACCAAGTACACATGCAAGTGGTAAATTGATTTTTTGTGACGTTTTTACTCCTTTAAAGTTTAAATTTTCCTAAAATAATAATTAAGTTAATGGCTATTTCTGTAAAGATCATTCTGTAAATAAAAACTGCAGTGATTTTTAAAACTAATAGTTATTTTTTTAGTAATCACAAGATAAACTGCAAGTTCTGTTCTTTTAGATATGATTCTAATAGTTAAACATCTGTCAGATGTTTACCTTTTAAATCATTATCTAATTGCTCAGGCTTATGAAAAGTTATTTATAAAAATTCAACGCTTAAAAATCATGTAAGATTAAAGGTAATTCCTGTTATATTTGAAAGGTACGTTGATTATTGGTTTGAGTCTTTAAAGTTTAAATTAGTTAAAAGAGAATTCAAATTGTTCTGTTTTTATCTTATGCTCTATATCTAAAAGCTATTGTAATATTTATTGCATTATTTTTCATTTATTTTATTATGTTATGAAAGACCTACCAAGCTTGAAATTTTACTGGTTGAAATATATAGTATGTATATGTATATCATCCTATGGAATTAGGAAAACTAAAGTTACTAAAAAAAGCTAAAAAACTAGACGACTAAACTTATTTAAAATATTTTTAACAAGTTTACTTACAAATTAATGTTATGTGTTGATGTACCTTCAACCAAATTAGTGTCAACATTTTAGCAAAATGTCATATTGCCAGGCTGTTTGGTTGGATGAACCAAAAGCTTGATATTTTATTGAATTGTTATTTTAGTTTGTGATATTATAATTTTTATTTACAAAATGTTTAATAATTTATTTTTTAAATTTATTTGTCATTGCTTTGGATAAGATGTTTTGTTATTCCTTTTACAGACAATGAGGATTGCAAAAGTTTTAAATATCAGAAACTGAAGAAGGAATTGATAATTAGCAGATAACAAAAAAGCGCAAAAGTACTGATTATACAACTCTTTTAAAGGTTTCATTATAATTTGTTAATGTTTATATAGAAACTAATAATATATAAGCTGAAAATAATAACATAATTAATCCATAATTGTGCATTATTCTAATCTAAATTAATTTTTTTCAATTTCTTCAGAGCTAATATTACTAGTTTAATGCAATAACAGTAGAAATGATAATATAAAAATTAAATAAATCGCTTGTTAAAGCAAATAATATTATATATATATATATATATATATATATATATATATATATATATATATATATATATATATATATATATATATATATATATATATATAAATATATATATATATATATATATATATATATATATATATATATATATATATATATATATATATATATATATATATATATATATATATATATATATATTATAAAATAATAGTTTTGTTTAGTTTGTTCTAATTTTTATGTAAAAAATAAAGAAGCAAGTTTTAATTAGTAAATGATTAACCATTTTTATGGTATAGTAAAATAGTTTTTATTTTTCAGTTGAGGAAGAATTTTATGTGGTATGTTAATGCAAAAGGTACGAATATTGACAGGTTAGCTAATTTGATGTTACAATAAACATGAAATAAAGTTTGTGAAGACCTTAGTTCCAAAAATACTTGCATGCATGCTATATTATAATATAGCATGGATGCATTCAAGTATTAAAAAAAAGTTACAAATGTTTAATTATACAAAAAGATTATTTATGTGGTACCGCAAGTATATTCAATTGATTATGTAAGTAAGTATGTATGTACTTTACATCTTTGAAGACTAATAATAATTGTAATGAACATATCTCAAACAATATACACTCGGATTTACATTTTAGTTAAACCATCACCACCTCCACAGCCATCTTATCTCAAGCATTCAATTGCATTCTAAGTTATCTTTATTCAAATCAAGTGTGACTACTATACCAAAAGACTGTAGAATGGACCAATCAAGTAAGCTGTCTAAATTTATATCTTTTATATAGAACTCCTTTACTTTTAGATAAACCTGTTAATTTTATGACTTATGAACATATTTAGCAATGTAAGCCTTTTAGGATAGACTTTTTAAAATCAAATTTACAATGTTTTAGTAAATTTTTATTTACTAAAACATTTTTATTAACTTTGTATACATAATATATCTATATAGTTATTTACATTGTAGCTAACCCATCAGTACTTGCAAAGTCTTCTTTTCTGTAAGCCCGAAATTTGAGTTCTAAAATACCATTATACACATAACTACTATATCAAAGCACAAACTAATGGATTGATCAAGTACTACTTAATTTTTACCTTGAGTTGCGTGTTAGTACGTATATGATTTTGATATATAAGTTTTAATTATTATGTTTGTTGTTTAGTTTTTAACTTTGAAGATTTTAAGAATTACAATTTTATTTTTACATGTTTATTTATATTGTAGTGAAACTGTCGGTATCTCCACAACTTTTCAATTAAATAGAAAGTTTCAATCAAACAGGATACTGAGTGTGCCTACTGCTCCTCAAGACAATGAATAATGGGAGTTATCAAACTTTATATATATATATATACATATAAATATATATATATATATATATATATATATATATATATATATATATATATATATATATATATATATAAAATATATATATAAAAAAAATGAGTAGCCTCCTCGAATGTAGTGGCCCCCTTGGGCCTTGGGGAGGTGAATAATTAATATATATATATATATATATATATATATATATATATATATATATATATATATATATATATATATATATATATATATATATATATATATATATATATATATATATATATATATATATATATATATATATATATATATATATATATATATATATATATATATATATATATATATATATATATATATATATATATATATATATATATATATATATATATATAAATATATATATATATATATATATATATATATATATGTATATATATATATGTTGTACAGATATTGTTATAAAGTAATAGAATACTATATAATATTGTATTACTATGTTTAGGAAGGGCACTGCAGTTGTCTTGCAGTTATGCAACTTATCAACCCATAACTGCGATAACTACAAGATTTTTTAATAAGGTTTTTATTATATAAATATTATATATTTTACAGAGTTTTAAAAAAAAGTTCTCTATCAATTATTACTATAGTTACTCAATGTACACTGTACTAATGTACAATCTTCTATAATCTATAAAACTATGGATTTATAAAGTTGTTAAATAAATGATTTATATGAATAGAATAAAGATGTTTATTGAGTTATTTTTAATATTTTTAGAAAAGAGATTGTATGACTTCGGTATCCGCAATACGGTATCGTGTATTGATTCCCATCTTAGAATGGCTCTCTTCCGTATAGGTGGAAATAGGAAAGGTTATTTCTTTTTTTCCAATTCTTAAAACGAAGAGGCTTAATCGGTTCAAACAAAGATGACGATGATCATTATGGAGCCGATCATAATGAGGAATACGATAATGCATATAATAATAAATAAAATGATTTTACTTGTATCTTAAACTTATTTAAATAAAAAATTATTTGTTTAATGTTTGATTTGTTTATGAGTATTTAGATACTGCGTTCAGCGTTTAACTTTTCTTTACGGTGCTTATTTAAAGCAGCTTAAATAAAAGAAGAGTTTGATTCGTTTATCGGTATTTTTTATTTATTTAAGCTTCTTTAAATAAGCGCCGTAAAATAAAATTTAACGTCGCGAAGTTTTAATCGAAAGATTTAGATGGAGTTTAAATAGCGTTTAAAACGAACCATTTAGATATGGTTTAAATGGAACATTCGATTGACCTACGTTCTAAATCGAAACTAAATTAAATCTAAACATTTAGAACGAACATTAACTAAACGTTGATTAAATGTTCGAATGCCCGTTGGGGAAGTAATTATAAAAGCTGTGTGTTCCATAATTTGTGGTGCACAGATCTTTTAGTCTAAGGCTAATGAGCTTTCCTTGCCCTTAACGGATATCATTTTGTAGCATTTAGTTTATTTTTTTAGGGGCACCTAAAAAATAACTTAAAAAGTAACAAAAAAATTAAAACTATGCCTTCTCCTTCAACACATTTATATGTTTAATTAGGACTATTAATCAAAAAATATAAGGAATATTTTAGTATACTTTTTATTTTTTTTTTTATTTAATAGACTGCCCTCTTCAACCAAACCCTCAGTCGATGTTGCGGCACTTCCTTGTCGTAACAGGATGTTTAGTAATTTGTATAGCAGCACTTTTTTGTAGTTCAAACAAACTCCTGGCATAATTAACAGTAAATTAATAGACACAGGGCGGTAGGAACAAAAATTATATTAGGGGGTATTACTCCGAAATAGTTTTAAAGAATTTTTTTTGTTTAGTTTTTTTTTCAGTCAATTTCTTTAAAATTATTTATTTGAAAAATTAGGGGGAAGGGGGTAGGGGCAAATGCTCCTACTGTCCACACGTTTGCTACGGATCTGAGACAATTGTTTTGTGGTAATTAAACGAATCAGATCTAAAACCTTTTTTAAATTTAAAAGTTGCATCTTAAAAACACAAAAAAATAGTAAGTAACACAGATGTAGAGAGGTTTAATAGTTTATATTCCATTTTACAGTATATTTTATATTTTATTCCTTCGTTTAGTTCACTTATTTTTATTTAATTTGGTTACAATTTTATACTTAATTTACAAATTTAACCTGGTATTCAATTTGTGTGACTGGGTTGAAATCATATGTATATTAAACATTACCTTTTATTTATGCTAATAAATGTGGAATCATAATTGTTTACATCATCATTATTATCATTTGTTCAGTTTTTAAAGACTTTTTTTACATTCATAAAAAACAACGTAACTCAGTCAATTGCTAGAATTGATTGAATAATGATGTTAGTTTAACAATGTAATCAAGAATAAAAGAGGCTAATAATGTAAAAAGGTAAATTAAAGATAACCCAATATTTTGAGTTATTTTTTAATCTATAGATAAGTTATATTATATAAATTTGTCGTTACTTTTCAATGCATGATTAATACTTTGATATCTATTTTTTATTAGAAATTAGGTGCAAAACTATTTAAATGACTTTTAAATCATCTGACACACCGTCAGAAGAAAAAGATTGCAGTAAATTTGGAGGTCGATTAGAATAATGCGTAAGCACGTGAAGACACTAATTAGTAATTAAGATTTGTTTTTGTGATTTTGTTTTAATCCTTTACAACTTAAATGTGTTTAATGTATTGAAATCTTTTATTGAAATACAGATTAATTGTAGCTACATTTGTGTTGATCACAATGTATAGTTTTAAATTAATTGGAATATATTTTCATATTTTTTATATGCAGTATTTCATTGGCATATTTTTTGAAACAACAGGATTATTTAATGCCATCATCGAGTTTATGATTTGTGATGTATTGGATAAACAACGTAAGATATTCTTTTTATATGGCATCCTAAGAAAATTCATCGATATATTTTATAATTTTTATATGTAGTATTGATTGAGGATATATTTTAAAACTCACGATTATCTAATGTTATCACGGAATCAATGAGTCGTGAAATATTAGATAAACAATGTTAAATTTTTGTTTTATATGGTAGCCCAAGAAACTTAATATATTTTTATAATTTTAATGTGTAGTATTTCATGGAGAGTATTTTTTGAAAACAGCACCATTATCTAATGTTAACATGAAGTCAATGAGTTGTGATTTATTGAATAAACAACAAAATATTTTTTTTATATAACATTTCAAGAAGTATAAAAATTAATATAAAAAATGAAAAAAAACAACCACAAAAAATCATCAAGTGTTTATATATACACATGCGAAGTTTTTTGTTATTGATTTCTTTTCTTTCTTTTTTTTTTTGTATTAACTATAATATGTAAAAAAATGTATTAATTATTTTAGAAGAGTTAAATATATTACTTTATTATTTAATCTTATTATTAACTTTTATAGCTTATTTTACAAATACTTTACTTTTAGCTATATCCTCACAAATTTATACTTATTGTACGATTTCTTTACTTTTGGCTATTTTTGGGTGACTTGGTTGTAATAAGTAAATTTATCAGATGCATCTTGACATGCAGAAAAATATGGATTTCGAGAAGTACTTAACATTAGTTCATGCAAGCATCAAGTTGAAATGATGGTAGAATTTTAACCATACGCTAACCTGAAACTTTTATATGTATAGTATTGCAAAGCTATTTAATTAAAATAAAAATTTGGAAATATAAAATTTATTGCTAAAATGACTTTGTATTTAGAGTTTAAAATATCTGACATTCCATTTTATATCACCCATGCAATATTTTTTGGTAGACAAACATAACCCGCTTTTTTTTTTGACTTGTTTCACTTTAAAATATTCAAGTTAAAATCTTATATATGTCTCCCAAAGGTTTCTGAGTTTAAATCTTGCGTTTATTTAAATATCGGTTATTTTTCAAAAAAGCGGATAAGGTTAAAAAAAAAAATAATAATAAACCAAAAATAGCATAAAAAGCGATGGAAAAGTAACGGTGAAACGTCGTTTGAAAAACGGCTTCCATGCATTGACCATGCCTTAAACAGTGAGCAAGACTTGGATTGGACAATGCTTGTGGGCAGATAGTGGGCTAGTAATGACACCGATGGTGGGCCATGCATCGACCGACAATGGAGAATTTGTTGGGATAATAAATATTTAATAGGATTAGTCTTTTTTTTTTCTCGAGAAGTGAATTATTTTAATATAATATTAAATCTTAGCGACTGCAGCTTCAAGTACTAACCTGAAAGTTTGTAAACTTATATTTATGTTAGCTTTGATCAACTACCACATTTTTTAAAAAAGCTTTTAGATTCTATTGAACATAGGTTGTCTCCAGCAAAACATTTTTTAAAAACTCTGCTTCTATTTAAAAAGAAGCTCGTATAAAGTCTTAGCATAGCCTCAATATCAAATATTGTTTCAATTTAAATTTACTCAAAACTAATCGTGAGTAAGACGCAAGCAAAACATCATGTAATTCAATCACTTTTTCAACTTTTTTAAAAAAGCTACGTGTAATTTAAAAAATTAATGCCTAACTAAAATCATTGTTTAAAATCATTTTTTATAATGAAACTCTGACACCACCTAATATCAATAATGTTAAGGACTGCAAAGCGTAAAGCTTTTTAGCTTAATCAGGTATAAAAAAAATATAGAACTTTCTAAGTAAATTTGAAAACTTAAGGGTAGTTCAATTTAAAAGTGGTACAGTGATTCTAAATTTTTTTGTTTTAAAATTTTCAGTCAATATTTTTGACTATATCGTCACATTCTATTTGTCGTCAATTAAGCAAATATAAAATATTTCAAATGGTCAGTCAATATTTTTGACTATATCGTCATATTCACAGTTACAAAGAATTAGGTAGGTTATCTATTCAGAATTTATTTTTTATATAACTTTTTTAAATAACTTATTTTTTTTTACAGATTTTTATAGTTAATATTGCTTAGTTAAATAACTTTGTTATAGAAAATGTTTGTCTTTTTATTTAGCTAAAAAGAAAGAAATTCTTGATAAGAATTATTTAATTTTACATCTTTTATGTAAGTTCTGCTCTTTTATTTGTCTTTCTTAAACTTTCAGCAATTGTATTGTTCCGAAAATGAAAGTACATGTTAAAACTGCCCGACGGACATACGAACATTTAATCAACGTTTAAGTAATGTTCGTTCTAAATGTTTAAATTTAATTTAGTTTTGATTTAGAACGTAGGTCAATCGACCTACGTTCTAAATCAAAATTATAATATGAATTATCGTATTTATCATTATCATGATCGCTTCCATGACAATAAGCATTATCTTTGCTTGAATCGTTCAAGCCAGCCTCTCCATCTTGAGAATTGGAAAAATGGGCGCCACCTTTCCCAGTGCCACCTAAACGAAACGGAGCCATTCTAAGATGAGAACCAATGCACGAATGTATTTCGGACAAAGAAGACAGAATATCGTTTCAATACACACTCTAAAAATAATTTAAAAAAATCAATAAACATCTTCATTCAATTCATATAAATCATTTATTCGACAATTTTATAAATTCATAGTGTGTACTGAGTAGATTTGAATTATAACCTGAGTTTGAATTTAATTTCAATTACAAAAAATATAAAAATAATATTTTACCAACAACAAGTTGACACAGAGCAGAGTTTCTAAACGGAAGCTTTTTAAGAGAACCTTTACCATTCATACTCAAATGAGACATTTTTTTTTTTTTTATTTCAATTCACCTCCTCAAGGCCGAGAAAGCCACTACAGACGAGGAGGATACTTATTTGTGGCTATAACCCTCTCTCAACTCTATAACTCCGAAACACGAACCGTGACGAACAAGGCCGCTACGCGGAGAAACGAGTTGAGACATAACAAAATTTGTAAAAAGTCTTTTCAATAGATTCTTAGAAGTATCTTTAATGGATGACCCTCCGATTCGTGAAAGAAGGCGAAGCTACAAAGAAATTATTTATAAATGCTACTTTTCATTACACATGGGATTCTAATTAATACAAAAACAAAAGTCTTGCCACCTCAATGAAAGCAAAACATGTTTTCTGACATCAAAACAAACATTATATAGACGTTAAAAACCTTTCTGGGAAAGAGGATAAAAACAATTAGCTTTACACTTACTAGAATTGTTCGATTAGCAAGAACTCCACATTGCTCCTCTAATTTTCTGTATCCATTCAAGGTCCCAATAGCTCCAGCTATAACTTCTAGATGGACCTCAGCAACAGTCTCTAAACTTGGTACGGCCATCATTTCCACTGCTATTCGTATATCTTTAATTTCGTTAGTCATATTTGATAACTGATGAAGAACTTTTCTCTGAAACTCTGTAAAATATATAACATTTATATAAAAACCTTATTAAAAAAACTACACAAATTTCGTAATAACTGTTCACAGTGATAGGTTGATAATAGATAGCACAATTGCAAAGCAACTGCCTTATCTACAGTAAAAAAAAAACAGTCGAATTAAAAAATATATTATTAAATAATATATAAATAAGGTTTGATAACTTACTCCCATTATCGATTTCATTTTCTTGAGGAGCAGTTGGCTCACTCAGTATAATGTTTGCTTGAAACTTTCTATTTAATGCTGATAGTTTCACTACAATATAAATAACTATACAATTACATTGGGCGTTGTAAATCAAAACTTATTTAGAAACGTCATTAAATTTTTGCAGTATATATGTAAATCAGACCCCATATACTATACAACATTATACTATAAATAAACAATAACTAATATCATTATTACAGTTAATTCTAGATATCTCTAATATTTACCAAATCCTTGGATATTACACTTAAGTTAAAAATTAAGTATTACTTGATCGATCTATTACATTGTCTTTTGATGTGGCAGCTCTCTGTCTTAATATTGGTATTTTAGAATCAAATTTTCGGGGTAACAGAAAAGGAGAAAGTGCTGATTGGTTAGCTATAATGTAAATAACTATATAGTTACATTATTTATGCAAAGTTGTTTTCAATGAAAATTTACTAAATTATCCTAAATTTGATTTAAAAAAGTTTATCCTTAAAAGGATAAAGGATTAAACATGTTCATAAGTCGTAAAAGTTAGTAGGTCTAAATCTGAAGATTATTTAAAAGTGAAGGTGGTCTATATCAAAGGTATAAATTTAGACATCTTACTTGATTGATCCATTTTATTTTCTTTTGGTATAGTCACCATGCTTGATTTGAATGAAGGTATCTTAGAATAACAGCTTGAAAGACCAGGTGACTGTGGAATTAGTGATAGTTTAGCTACAATGTAAATCTCAGGGTATACTTTTGAGATATAACCATTACAATTGTTATTAGTATTCAAAGATATAAAGTACAACAACTTACTTGCATGATCACTTTTATATCCTTGTGGTACCACATCCACAACCTTCTTATATAGTGAAATATTTGATGGTAACATTTTGCCTAATTTAGCAGGTGGCTGTGGAAATGTATATAGTTTTACTATTTTAAAAATAAAATACAATTACAGCAAGTGTAAAAAATTATTTTTAATAACTGTTTTATTACAAAATACATACACATAACACTATTATTACTATTATTATGTAGGCTATTATTAGCTCCTGCTCTACTCTTCATAAAATTACTAATTAATGAACTTGTTTCTTCACGCAGCAGCCTTGTTCGTCAAAGGTTTGTGTTTCAGAGTTATGAAGTTGAGAGAAGGTTGAAACTACAAGTAGCCTCTTCGATTGTAGTGGTCATCTCAGCCTTTAGGGAGGTGAATTAACATAAAAAATATATATTCTTACTTTCTGTATTAATATCAACATCAACTTCTTCCTCGCCTTAAAAAAACAAAGTGTTTTACTAGAGCTGTATTAAAGTAGTGGTATTATATCCGAATAAATAACTTCAATTTTGATTAAAATAATGCAAAATTATAGATTGATAATAAGTTTTAAATATTATATTTTATATATTATTTGTCAGTTTTTGTATATTTCACATATGTTATTATTTTCAGTTTATATATTCTATTTACTATTTATATGAGTATTAACAAATTAAAGTAAAACCTTCAAAAAAAGTTGTACAAGCAGTACGCTTGCGCTTTTTTGAAACTTGCTGATTATCTTCTTCAGTTTCTGTAGTTAAATCATAATTATTACAATCCTCATAGCAATCTGTAAAAGAAATAAGAAAACATTTAATTTATCCAAAGAAGTTATTGACAAATAAATTCTTTTAACAAGTAATGACTAAATTCTTTAACATTTTGCGAATGTAAATTATGAAGCTGTTGTCAAAAAATAAACACAAAACCTGAAGTAATTTTTATTTTTATTAGTTTAAAAAGTCGCCAATTTTCATTAGGTTCTACTCCTTCTTTCATTAATTTAAACGCATTCATTTTGGATGGGGGCCACATAACTACTTTTCCCCGCACCCATGCGGATGGCAAGACTCCTTCTTCCTCACAATTTTCTTCCAACCAAACAGCCCGGTGATATGACATTTTTTTAAAATGTTAATACTCTTTTTATTGTAGGTACATCAACACATAACATAAACTTGTAACTAAACTTGTTTAAAAGTGTTTAATATAAGATTAGTCGTTTACAAATACATAAATATTATTTTACTAATACATATAAATAGTAGTTTAATTATTGTTATTATCACTTGTTTCAGCTAAACAAGACACCAATAGAAGTTATTATCAGAGGAGATGGTTATGAAAATTTCTATATTAATTACTCTTTAAAATTTTAAGATTAATATCTAAAATTATTTAGATTTACATTAAAAGTAAACAAAATCGAAACAAAAATTAAAAAAAAATTAAAAAGTTAAAACATAGGAAAATAAAATCACAACTTAATATACCTAAAATAAATTTACAATAACTTACACCAAATGAAAATATTAATAAAAAAAGAAGCTATAATAACTCTTTGATTAACTACAAAGGCTAAAAAATATATAGCTTTTTTCACTAATAGTGCTAACCTAGTATACTATGAAATATCTTCCTTAAATTAAAAATCACATTAGGCATATTAGTATATTTAAACATATTAAACATATAGACATAAAAACAAATTTAAAACTATATTAGAGGGAGATAAATATAAAAAGAAATGTTTTTGAATATTTTTCAGAAAAGATCTTGCTGGAGCATCATAAATAACTGAGTGCAAAATAACTGTATAATTTTTACCATTATGAGTGACACCATTACATTTTAAAAATTTATATTCATCAATAAAATCCTTTAAGAATTCTTTAACACAGTTTGGCTTACTATCTCCTTGATATAAGGCAACAATTGTGGGTGAACTATGAATAACAGCAGAAAGAATCGGCCAAAATTGTCTTTTCGATGATCTAAACAATGATATACCGTCAACATTTATTTGCAGATTGAGTATATTGCTGCAAGTGCCTTGATTTATTGAATTCTGTAAACATTTGGTAAGGCCAAAATAAATGTATTTTCCACCACATTTTTCCTGAACTTGTATAGCTTTGAGGTGTTTGTAAAAGAGTACGGCTATCTTTAGGCAGCTCGCACCCATGTTTTCTCAACAAGGCTAGCAAACCATTACATGATAAACATGTGAGTTTTGCATTAACAACCCATTGAGCTAGATCGTATTGAAAAGATCTATTGCCAACAACTTCTATATCACAATAATGTTCATCGTCTGAGCTGCTATTAGGTGGTACTATGTCGATGTCAATATCATCTATATCACAATTTTCTTCATCGGAACTACTGTAAGGTGGTACTATGTCAATGTCAAGTCTATAGGTATAACTATTAAATAAATTATCAGTTATATTATTTGCAATAGAAGATAAAGCGAATAAATTTTCTGCATTAGTTGAAGAATTTGATAACACAGGAGGTTCACATTCAAAGCAATTATTTGCACCTTTAACAACTTTTCTATATTTTCGCATATACTTTGCTTTTGCACTCATACGAATGATCTAAAAAATCAATTAAATAAATATTAGGTAATATTATTTTTTATTTACAAACTTATTTTTTTTTATATAATTTATATGAATATTATTATAGATAAGATAATAAGAGTTTAAGATATTATAACTAAATAATAAACTTAATAACAACATATAATTAGATTATTTGTAACAACAATAATAATTATTATTATTAATATTTTATTAATCACCCTCTGTAAAATAAATTTACAAGGTAAAAACACAAACTAAGAAATAGAGATAAAAAAAAGTATTATTTAGGAATGTTTTCTTCAAGTGTCTTTTCAAAAATTGTTCGCTGTTCTTTTACATTCCAACATTGAACCGCGTGTACCAAAATATGAAGAGTAGCTTCAGGAATTACTTCCTCTAAGACTTTAAGTTTTACTTTTTTTTTAACCAGCATTAAGGTGTTCATATTCAGTTTATGATTATCACATAACTCTTTTATATCATCCAAAAAAGAAAATTTAGCTGAACAGTAGTTAAGTTGGGAGTTACTGATTTCAAAGGTTACTTTATTGTTTAAAAGGTGGATAAATAGATTTTTTTTTTTTTAATGTATATAACTTGACATCTCCTTAATTTTAAATAGAGATTGTATATAGTTAATTTTAAGTAGAGAGTGTATATAGTATAGAGAGTGTATATAGTACTTTAAATAGGAGTGTATATACTTAAAGACATTAAAAATTGATTTAACTGCGTTCCTTCTAAATGAGTAGAGTCTTTTCATTGTTGCATCTTTATTTTCACAGATTTATTATTATTATTGTGGAGATTATTATTATGAAGATTAAGATTAAATAATTACGCTAATAAAGTAAATAAAAAAAAAAACAGTAGTTTAAAAAATGTAAAAGGTAAAAACTATACTTTTTTTTTAATGAGTTATAAAATTATTTTTTTATACACAAGTTAAAGATAAGGAAATCAAACATATTGACAACAGAGTTTGTCAAGGTTTGTGTTTCTGTGTTAAAGAGTTTCACCGCTGCCCAAATTTTTTCTCAGAATAGGCCCTGAATATATATATATATATATATATATATATATATATATATATATATATATATATATATATATATATATATATATATATATATATATATTATATATATATATATATATATATATAAACATCAGTGGTAAGATTCAAATAATTTCACAACGGGTTCTGTGTGTCCAAGAAAAAGAAGTAGTAAAATTTTTCAAATATGAAAACTAGTATTGTTTCATACGTAGATAAAGCGTTACATAAAGAATTATTAAAATGAAAATATTTGTATGTATGTATGAATGTATGTATGTATGTATGCATATATATATATATATATATATATATATATATATATATATATATATATATATATATATATATATATATATATATATATATATATATATATATATATATATATATATATATATATATATATATATATATATATATATATATATATATATATATGTATATATATATATATATATATATATATATATATATATATATATATATATATATATATGTATATATATATATATATATATATATATATATATATATATATATATATATATATATATATATATATATATATATATGTATATATATATATATATATATATGTATGCATATATATATATATATATATATATATATATATATATATATATATATATATATATATATATATATATATATGTATATATATCTGTGTGTGTAGTTATATCAGGATGTATATGCATGTATGTGTGTATGTGTGTAAATCACAGTGTAATTTACACTTTATTACATTTCTTTTACTTAAAAATTGAAAGACTTATAATGATTTGTTTTAACTTTTAACAAGTCACTTCTATTTTAAAAGTCTTTTTCTTTTTAAAAAAAACGTCGATGTAAAATAAAATAACTACAATAAAAAAATATAAATATAGATTGAATTAAAATCAAAAAAGATTACAAAATCCTAATTCTAAAAAAAATGCATTTATAGCCCTTACTCTCTCAAGAAGTTGAGATTCACACTTAATATTTATTTGCACTACATTGACAATGTCTCAAGTACTTGAGAGAATAAGGGCTATAAATGCATTTTTTTTAGAATTAGGATTTTGTAATCTTTTTTGATTTTGATTTAGTCTATATTTATATTTTTATATTCATGTAGCCTACAAGTCAAGTACCTATTATGTGAATAACATTCTATAAGAATTATAATAAGAAACGTATTATTTATCTGTATTTTACCTCTTTTGCAATCTTTTAACTACTTCTTGGTTTGATACAAACTATTTCAAATCTTGTAAAACCACTTTTTTCTGTAATACAAACTGCTTCAATTTAATTAAATAATACCAAACTTAATAACTTTCATAACTAAACCTTTTTTCAAACTTTTGTGATATTTATGCGAATTATTATAGACTAATAGTCTATTTTAATAACAGTCTAAGTATAGTTTTTTATGCCATTAGAAAATCAGACTAAATAACGATTTTAAATATGGTAACAAGCATGTTTTAATATACAAACAAGCATGTCCAAAGGTCATTATCAAAAAGTTAATCCTCCTAAAACATCCGTTAACTCAATTTTTGTTTACTCAAATTTCTTTTAAGTTTTCTAAACTACTATCTACATAATTTAATATTCATATGAAATTCAAATTTTTAAACAATAATGAAAGATCCAAAATGTCCGTTTCTGTGCAAAATCCCTTCCGGGCTAATCGAAGTAACGGAAACCGGCATGATTTAGCGCTTAAACGCTAACTAAATATTCAGAACTCATTTAGAATTGATTCCTAATCGTTTAGAACGACGTAAATGTCATCTAAACGCAAATTAAATATTCAGAACACGTTTAGAATAGATTCCTAAACGTTTAGATCGACGTAAATGCCATCTAAACGTGATCTAAACCAATTTTAAACCAACAAATGCCCGTCGGGTTTAGAACAACGTAAATGTCACCTAAACGCAAATTAAATATTCAGAACACGTTTAGAATAGATTCCTAAACGTTTAGATCAACATAAATGCCATCTAAACGTGATCTAAACCAATTTTAAACCAACAAATGCCCGTCGGGTGTTATCAGGATTGATAGCGACTAATTTACTTATTGTAAATTAGTGGTTGTTGTAGATACTGATTTCGATCAAAAATATTTATTAAATTTTAACCATAATTTATGGTATAACAAAAAAATGACCTAAAGATATAAATTAGATATAGACATTCTTGTTCGATAAGTGATCTTCGAAGCTTTTGCCTAGCACTCAATATATGTTTTGCAATTGTATCATCCCTTGGGAAAAAACGTTTGTTTATCTTCTGAAGATTGTTATTTGAATTAAATTCCACCTGAATAAAGGCAGCTAAATGACGTCTCATTTCAGAAACAGAATTGACACCCTTTTTGACTAACTCACTAATTTTAATAATGAGTTCTTTACAAAAGGGTTGATTAAGACCTGCTTCTTAACAATTAGAAAAAAGTAGAAAATACTAACAATAAACATTAGCAATAACAAAATGCAAATGTAAAGTTATTTTAATAGCATTCTTACATCACCAATAAGGTGGTTTTGATGAGCAGAAATCGCAGGAATTACTAATAAATAGTTTCTGCACATTAAAACTGTATTTTTCAAAGCTGAAACTGCACGTAATTTTTTTGAAATTTCTTTCCTTAGCCGAATTGAACCTCTATACAGCTAAATAATATTTACATAAGTACATGCATATTCAAAATTGTTATAAATATAACAAACGCACACGCATATGAAAATTTATGGTTTAATAATAGCAAAAATAAACAGAAAATAAATAAAAAATAAACTTAAGAGTATACCAGTTTCTTACCAGATCAAAAAAAATAACTTACTGCTTCTGAGTTTTTTTTAACTTCATACAAAGCCTTAGCTTTGATACTTTTGTCCTTGACATGTTGACAGTCGATAGTACTATTTGATGAAACAATGAATGGTACTCCTGTGTAAGTGGCGTCCTTATCCTCAAAAAAGACATTGTGATTTTTCATTAATACTTTTAAAAAAGCAGATTTTTACATATAGCTAGAGTAAATTTAGTAAATTTTATAGCAAAATACACACATGTATATTTGACTAATATGCAAATAAACTTTATAAAAAACAATTTTGCTAAATATATATTTAAATAGGTGCATAACAAAAGCAATTAAGGTCAATACAGGATTGCTACTATAATTCCTATTAATTTTTAACAATAAAATATTTTCCCTTGTGTGAGTTGTGAGCCATTTAAAATCCATGATTATTCTGTAATTTTTTCATTTCATCCATTAGATTTGTTAATATACGTATCTAAACATATTTTGTATCTTTAAGCAACAAAATTTTTCACAAAAAAGCAAAATAAATCTAAAAATATTGAAAATCTTGTCGATGTTTTAGGATTTACACGAAAGCTTTTTTAAAAAATTACCCAGCCAAGTACACATAATAAACAAAAAATTGCTTATTTTATAAACCAGATAATTATATAACTTGCGTAACAACTCCATTTCTTTCGTTTATCGATAAATGATGTATGGTATATGGTAAATAATCTAAACACAATACAACACATTATAAGATAATATATTAATTATTAAAACTAAAATAATTTTATATATATATATATATATATATATATATATATATATATATATATATATTTATTTATTTATATTAAATGAATAAAAACAACTTTTGATGGAACTCTGAGTTTCATGCCTTTCGGCAATCATCAGCCATTGTGTGTTTCGTCACTTAAAAACCGTTTAAAAATTACAAATTAAAATTAAGGTGGAACGAGTTCTGACGTTACCAAACAAAACAAAACAAAACAAAAAGACGTCAAAGGTTTTAGTCCCGGTATCAAATAAGGATAGTAAAAATTTTTTTGAATGCCGGCACTATGATATTATTTCATATCTTTTATTAAGTAAGTTTTCTCCCTTATACGACAATATGTGAAACTTCTCGCGGAGACAAAGATTACAAACTTTTGATGCTTGATTGTAGGGCTTACATTGTGCTATTATCTTCCATGTAATCACAGGATTTATATGTTTCGATTTTAGCTCCCATATTTCTTTGGAAAGTTCAGTGTCATTTTTATATTTGGGTGCATTGAAAGATTTAAGATGGTTGGCATATCTTAATTTAAATGTGGTTTTACTTATACCGAAATAAACTTTATCTTTGCATTGAGGATCACCAGAACTTACCGTTGCTTGGTATACGATATTGCTAAAAAGGCATTGGTTATTTAACGATTTAATAAATATTGCTCTATTATTTAATAGTATTGAGCACTCTTAAACGCACAAGAGTATTTGTATTATTATTATTATACCATAATAATACACTTTCTATTTTGTATAAATTTGCTCCTACAAGTTGAGCACTCTTCTTAAGTGGTCAACAAAAATGGAAAAAATAAACTTGAAATATTCAATCAAAAATATACCAATTCCATCTGAAAAAGAATATAAATTAAAACTACTAAACAAAACAGAAATGCTCGTATAGAAAATGAGATGGAAGGCGTTCTTTTTCATAAATAACTACCCAAGAAATGATTCAAATTATACAGACTACGGAATCAAATCATCAAAATGCCCACCACAAATAAATGAAATGCGTTCTTTCGAAAAAGACCTTATAAACTTAGTTAAATCGATAAAATTTTGCAACGTAAACTGTAAGTTTCAAAATAATATGCAAAAAGACTTAAAATCCATACGTACGTCGCATAAAACATTAATAAAGGCAGACAAAACATCTAAATTATATAAATTATCTAAAGATGAATACAACAAACTGTTAACAAACGCAATTACTTCTACCTACAAAAAGTCGATGCCAGAATTAAAAGATCAAATAATTAAGGAAGGAAAAAACCTTTTAATCCACCATGAAGTGTATAACAATATTGAGATAAACGGATCGTCCGGCTGTTTTTTTACATTAAAAGACCACAAGGATAATTTTATTAACAACCCTTCAGTTCGCCTTTTAAACCCTTCGAAAAACGAGGTAGGAAGAATTAGTAAAGTTATTTTATCTAAAATTATTCACGAACTAAAAAATAAACTACAGTTGAATCAATAGCAAAGCACCCATTTTGTTATCGATTGGTTTAAAAAAATCAAAAATAAACACCTTTGCAAATTTCTAATTTTTGATATAAATGATTTTTACCCATCTATTAGTGAAAACATTCTTACCAAAGCAATCTGTTTCGCCGAACAACATGTTATTATAAAAAATGACGATAAAAAAATAATATATCATGCAAGAAAATCTTTAATTTTTAATAACGACGAAGCTTGGATAAAGAAAAGAGGCGGATTATTTGATGTCACAATGGGAGCATTTGATGGAGCTGAAGTTTGTGAACTAGTTTGTATTTTTATGTTGTTTCAGCTCTCTCAACATTACGATAAAAATAATTTTGGCTTGTATCGTGACGACGGGCTTGCTGTTTTTGAAAACAAAAGCGGCCAGCAAATGGAAAAAATTAAAAAACATTTTACACATATTTTTAAAAGTAACAACCTACTTATCTCCATCCAATGTAATATTAAAATTGTCAATTTTCTTGATGTAACATTGAACCTGATTGACAGTTCTTATCAACCGTATTGTAAACCTAATAACCAACTTATGTATGTTCATTCAGAGTCAAACCATCCACCTAATATAATAAAAGAAATCCCTCGCACTATTGAGTTAAGATTATCGAATATGGCAGTAAATGAAACTGTGTTCAATAACTCAATTATTCCGTATAAAGAGGCTTTACGTAAATCAGGATACAATTCAAAACTCACCTACCAACCGCAAATAAACAAAAATCAAAAAAGACATCGCAAGCGTAAAATTATATGGTACAACCCCCCGTTTAGCAAAATTGTTGAAACTAAAATTGGAAATCGCTTTTTAGCTTTAATTGACCAACACTTTCCAGTAGGACACAGGCTTCATAAAATTTTTAATCGAAACTATGTTAAAGTAAGCTATAGTTGCATGCCTAATGTCAAGTCTTTAATAAATACGCATAATAACAAAATTTTACATAGCGATAAAAATAAAACATCAAAAAAATGTAACTGCATAGACAAAAATATTTGCCCGTTAAATAACCAATGCCTTTTTAGCAATATCGTATAGCAAGCCACTGTAAGTTCTAGTGATCCTCAATGCAAAGATAAAGTTTATTTCGGTATAAGTGAAACCACATTTAAATTAAGATATGCCAACCATCTTAAATCTTTCAATGCACATTTTACTATCCTTATTTGATACCGGGACTAAAACCTTTGACGTCTTTTTGTTTTGTTTTGTTTTGTTTAGTAACGTCAGAACTCGTTCCACCTTAATTTTAATTTGTAATTTTTAAACGGTTTTTAAGTGACGAAATACACAATGGCTGATGATTGCCGAAAGGCATGAAACTCAGAGTTCCATCAAAAGTTGTTTTTATTCATTTAATATAAATAAATAAATATTGCTCTATTATTTAATAGTATTGAGCACTCTTAAACGCACAAGAGTATTTGTATTATTATTATTATACCATAATAATACACTTTCTATTTTGTATATATATATATATATATATATATATATATATATATATATATATATATATATATATATATATATATATATACATATATTGTATATATATATATATATATATATATATATATATATATATATATATATATATATATATATATATATATATATATATATATATATATATATATATATATATATATATATATATATATATATATATATATATATATATATATATATATATATATATATATATATATATATATATATATATATATATATATATATATATATATACCCAGCAAACATGCTTTCAGCGGACCGCGATGCGCAAAGCCGCCGCCGGAATGCCGGTGCTGGCCCTTTGTGATTCCTAATGCGGATTACCGCTGCCGGGTAGCTGATCTAGGACCGGCATGCTAATTTGTGTTGACTTTCAGCCATCGGCCGAATAGCGATAAAACACCTCGTTGCCAATACGATTTTAAATAGGCATGCCAGCTTCGGTATGTTTATGACGATACGCTTTAGTTTTGCCAACACAATGCCCGAGATGGCTCCCGGATAACGGTAAGATGTCGTAAAAACACCAAAAGTAAGCCATGAGACTTAGATTGATTGATTTTTATATTTTATACTGTAGTACATAGTCTATGTAAAACAGTAAGTAATAAATAAATAGTATTAAAAAAAATCAATTTAGTCTTTTTATTTTTAAGTCTTACAATATAGGTTATATATATTAAATCTACATCTATACTTTAATAAAGTATAAATGTAGATTTAATATATATAACCTATTTTGTATATTTTATAATATAAAGTCTTTATATTATAAAATATACCTAGCTATAATTATTGCTTATAAATACTAAAAGTTACATGATTTTATACCTTTATCTATATTTATAAATTATAAATATAGATATAAATATAATATATTATAATATAAAGTATACTTTACTCTATATTATATTATAATATATTATATGTATATCTATATTTATAATTTATATTTATATCTATATCTATACTTATATATTATATCTATATCTATACTTAGTATAGATTACTATATATTATATCTATATCTATACTTAGTATAGATATTAAGTATAGATATACATATAGGTTCAATATATATTTATAAGACTCAAAATTAAAAATTCTAATTTGATTTTATTTTAAACATATATAACTTTAACAATATTGTTACAGTTATGTAACAATGTTATAACCATATTAGTATAACATTGTTCTTGTTGTATTAAAAGTTACATGACTAGTCGTATAAGTTATATTATAACTTTTAATATAACAAGAACAATGTTAAACTAATATGAAGTTATATATATATATGTATATATATTTATATATATATATATATATATATATATATATATATATATATATATATATATATATATATATATATATATATATATATATATATATATATATATACACACACAGACACACACAAACACACACACACATATATAATATATACATTTTTAAATAAAACAATTTATGTAAGTTTCAATAGTGAGCTTTTGGACAAAACGACGAAAGATAATAGCTGATGTTGAATATTGCCTAAAAGATCTTTCCATTAAATCAAGCAATATTTCACATTCAACAGAAGAAGTACAATCATTGTATTTAAAAAGTATATCAGATCGAAAACTTTCAACTGAGAGTGCTATTCCCTAAGGTGCAAATAATGTATATTATATATATATTGTGAAGTGAACTCTGATAGTAATCTATTGATATTAAATATTGGCATTAGACAAGGTATTTTAAGTAATAATTTAAGTTTTTTAAAGAAAAAGGATTGTATACCAATTCAAGTCAACATTGATGATTTACCATTATTTAAAAGCAGCATTGGACAATTTTGGCCAATATTAGGTTTAATAAAAAATGTGGATAAACAATATTCAACACAATAAAACCCCATTTATAATTAGTCTTTTTTATAGTAGGTCTACACCAAAAGACCGTAATGAATTTCTAAAAATGTTTGTTAATGAAAGTATTGCTTTATTTGATTCTGGTATTAGTATTAATGGTAAAGTATATAAGTTTGCTATATCAGCTTTTATTTGTGGTACACCAGCTAGATCATTTATAAACAGAAATAAAGGGCATAAAGCCTATTAATAAATGTTATGCAATAATTAATGGAATTAATTTGATATCTATTTTTTTTTAATTTTTTAAAAGATATTCTTCACTATATATATTACTGATGCTTTTTCTATTTTTTTTGTAGATAATAGCTGTGGCAAGTAAAGGAGGCCAGACTTTAAAGGAGGCTGTCCAGAGAATGTCCTTTGCGTTAATCACTAATAACCTCTGCTGTAAACTTAACTGGTCTGGTATTACCATAAATGACAATGAAAGTAACTTTGTAAAACAAAGACTTACACTTGCTTAAAAGAATTTTTTTTTGTAGGGGCTTGTTACTCTAATTTAATAATTACTTGTGTCTAATTTAGTAATTACTAATCTATTTGTTAATGAATAGTTGATTAATAAATAAAATTTATTTATTATCTATATAAAAATAAAAAATTAATAAATATATAAATAAAATTTGTTAATAAATTGCTTTTGAAAAAATTCTATATATGTCTGAAATTAAGTTAAAAAATATATTTTTTGTTTTCCTGCTAGATAGTTAAATAAAAGTCTTAAATTAAATTTTAGGAGCTGTAAAAAGAAATTCTGCAACAACTTCAGCAACTGAATCAGATTTTCAATATGAGGTTGTGCGTTTTTTGCGTGGTTCATCAGACCGCAATGGCAGAAAAAAAGTTAGACAAGACCAAAAAAACAAACAAGCCAAGAAAAAAGTGATGCCTACATCAAGTTTTTCAATGCCATTAAATAATTTAGTTCAGAAGATGAATAACATTGCTAAATAAAATAAGCATCTTTATTTACATATTTGTTATTTTTATTTTACAATATTTTATATATTTTTAAACTCAATAGAGTAAAGTTCTTGTGTAATGAGTATTACTGTTTCTGTGTTTTTCATATTCATTCCCTTTTACAGTAACCTTTTGTATATGAGATTGTAGATGAGAATTTAAATCGTGATATTGAATCTTACCAGAGAATAAAGTAAGATTAATTTTATTATTTTGATATTTATTTAATTTTATTATTTTGATATTATTTCAATGTTATTTTTGAAGAAAATCTAAAATATAAGTTCTGGAGTCTGTCTACTGTTTGATTTGTTTGATTATATTAAATTTAAATATAACTATAAGCTTTAAAATATAAAGTTACTGATAGGAAGCTAAATTAACTTGGTATTTAACCAGTGAAGCAGATGAATAAAAATCTAACAAAGTTTTTATTTTACAAGCCGTTATTTTAAAGGATTGCTTTAACAATTCCGTTCAAACATGCTTGTAATTTAATGTTACATTTATGATTTAATATTATTTCTTTACAGGAAACCGTTTACCTCAACCAGAGTTATATTTCATAGAATTATGCTGACCATGATCCAAATATTGCCATGGGTATAAGATAGATGTTTGATTTGCAAACTGGATTTAAATCATATTTTCTTTAAACATATTTATTTGCTCTTTATATGCTTACAAATAATTTATTAAAAAAAATTATATACTTATTTACTAAACCGTTTTATTTCAATCAATTATTTGACTTTTTATATTTTTCAAGGAATTTTTATAGTATATTATATCGCGTTATGCTTTTTTTTTTTTTTTTTTTTTTTTTATGGTGAAAACTATGTTCAATGTGCAAACTATATTTTAGTTTATCAAAATATATTTTTATTGATGTGTTCTGTCTCTGATTCTTTCTTTTCTCAGATGTGCACTTGTGTCTTAGGCTTATGCTTTGCAAAAGGTTCACCATCGCCCTTAAGTTGCTGTGGGTTTTACGGTTTTACTTCCAACCTGGCATATAAGTATCTCATTTTTAAATACTATTTTATTTGTTAAATTAAAATTAAAATTAAAGAAAATTTTTTTAATGAAATAACAATTTTTTTTTATTACTTATAAACCCCTCAAGCATATTTATACCCCACATTTATAGGATTAGGTATACCAGGTAGGTTACTGTATATGAAGTTTTATTTTTTTAAAAAAGGCACGCAATATGACTTTATTTTTATATAGCTTTTTTTTTTAAAGTTATTTCCATAGCTTTTCAATTTAAACAATATTTTTTTTGTTTTTATGTTTTAAATTATGCTTAAATATTGAAATTAAATTTATATTTATTCAATGTAGATGCACTTAGTATATGAAGTTATTTGTCAATAACTGGTGATCAGACTTTCAAACGAACACGTTTTTAAGGGCTGAGAAGGTTAGTTTATTATCTTTGTTGTAATAGCTCTAAACTTGACTGTTTTAATATTTTCATTATATATCATTGCCTGTTTTTAGGTGAAAGTTAGAAGTCTGCAGACTGTAACGTAAATAAATTTTCAACACATGGTTTTCTGAATATATTTAGTTTTCGATTGAAATGAGAATAAACTGAACTTATAGATATGTTGAAAATTAACTATTTTATATTTTAAACGTTCGCTAAACGCAAGTGAAGCAATAATCTATAGATGCAAATAAACTTTATATTTTGTTTTAGTTTAAAAAAAAAATATTGTTTCTTTTATATTCATGTTGTAATTGTAAATTGCAATCTTAAAATGATTTTTATTATAACTTCTGATTAGTCTTTTTGTTCACCAAGCTTAAGCCTTGCCACGTATGACCTATTGATTTACAGTTGGGGTAGTGTTTATCGGTGGTAGGAGAATTTTAGTATAATAAATTCGTATTTTGTCTATACACCTATGCACAAGTCAAAAGATATTTGATGTGTCTTCCAGGTATTGGCAGGATTTGCTTTTTTTTATGAGTAAAAATATGAGCTTAAAGATATAAAGATTTTTGCTAACGATAAGTGCGTTCTATTCAAACAAAAAAATAAAAATAATTATATGTATATCAATGCATTCAAATCTTAGTCAAAACTTATTAAAGATCCTATGCTATTCCGCAATGGCTTTATCATTAATTAGCAGCTGACAAACCGTTGCTCAAACGTTGTCGATTTGCCGCCATAGGTCCGCTGTCGAACCGCCTTTAGTTTTCCGCTAACGGACCGATGTAAATACGATGTGCAAGCCAACGCGGCAACGCAACGGGCGGCCGACGTCGGTACGACATAAGTGCTGACAGCGGTCCGTTATCGATCCGCCTGCTTGATGTTTGCTGGGTATATATATATATATATATATATATATATATATATATATATATATATATATATATATATATATATATATATATATATATATATATATATATATCATATACATATATATATATATATATATATATATATATATATATATATATATATATATATATATATATATATATATATATATATATATATATATATATATATATATATATATATATATATATATATATATATATATGTATGTATATATATATATATATATATATATATATATATATATATATATATATATATATATATATATATATATATATATATATATATATATATATATATGTATATATACACATATATATATATATATATATATATATATATATATATATATATATATATATATATATATATATATATATATATATTTCTACCTGCTATAGACCATATAGAAACTATATATATATATATATATATATATATATATATATATATATATATATATATATATATATATATATATATATATATATATATATATATATATATATATATATATATATATATATATATATATATATATATATATATATATATATATATATATATATATATAGTTTCTACCTGCTATAGACCACCTGAAGGAGATATAAAAAAATTTTCAAGCTACTTGGAAGATATCTTTCTTAAAATTAATAGAGAACAAAAAAAACTATTCTGCATAGGTGATTTAAATATAGGTTGTTTAAAATACAAAAAGAATGCGACCACCAAACTTTTTTTTGACAACATGTTTCAACATTGTATCTTTCCGATTATCAACAAACCTACGCGAATAACCCCGAATTCAATTTCCGCAATAGATAACATCTTGACGAATGCATTTCAAGATTTCTCTTTAAAAACAGGTATAGTTAAAACCGATATTTCGGATCACTTCCCAATTTACTTTTCTATAAATCAAGATACAAGAATAAACAACAATTCTAAAACCAAAATTTATATAACAAAAACTAATAAAATTTCTATTCAAAAATTTAAAGACACACTATCAATAGTGAATTGGGATAAAGTATATAAAAAATGCAACCTTGAGGACACAAACTCCGCATATAATACATTTATCGATATTTTTTTTAATCATTATAATAGTTATTTCCCGATCGAAGAAAAAATAGTTAAAGAAAAATATTTGAACTGTCCATGGATTACTAGTGGAATTAAAAAATCCTCTAAAACAAAACAAAAACTCTACATAAAATATTTAAAAAATAGAAATGAAGTCAACTTATCTATCTACAAGCAATACAAAAATCTCTTTGAAAAAATAAGGAAAAACTCTAAAAAAATATACTACTCAAAACTACTTCAAAATACCAATGGCGATATTAAAAAATCATGGAACATCATGAAAGAAATAATCGGGAAAAAAAATACCAAAACAAATACCTTACCTGATAGAATTGTTGTGGATGAAAAAGAATACAACAATAAAAGTTCTATAGCCGAACATTTCAACAGTTTCTTTGCAAACATTGGCCCTAACATGGCGTCCAAAATTCAATGCCCAAATACCTATTTTGAAACCTATCTTACAAATCAACAAAGCGAACTAAAATTCAATGGACTAGACTATGATGAAATAGAAGCTGCAAAAAATTCTCTAAAAATTAACAAAGCACCAGGGATTGATGAGATTTCTAGCAACGTAGTAATAAGTGTCTTCCCGGTGATACGCAAACCCATATTCGAAATTTTTAAATCTTCAATTACAACAGGAACTGTTCCAGACAAATTAAAAATTGCAAAAGTCGTACCAATATTTAAATCCGGAGAGCAATGCTCACTTAATAACTACAGACCCATCTCAATCCTTTCTGTCTTTTCTAAACTTCTAGAACGAATAGTTTACAATAAACTATATAAATACCTAACTATTAACAATATTTTGAATAAAAAACAATTCGGATTTCAAAAACAACATTCAACCGAACATGCGATTATAGATCTTGTAAATAAAATAAATGACTCTTTTGATAATAACAAATTTGTTCTAGGAATCTTTATTGATCTATCGAAAGCATTCGATACTGTTGACCATGCTATACTACTTAAAAAAATGGAAAAATATGGCATTAAAAATGTTGCTTTACATTGGTTTGAGAGCTTTCTTATAAACAGACAGCAATGTGTTATTATGGATAAAAATACCCATTCAAAATTACTTAAAATAAAATGCGGAGTTCCCCAAGGTTCCATTCTAGCTCCCCTACTCTTCTTGCTATACATCAATGATCTTCCAAAAGTCTCAAAAAAACTTGATGCCATAATGTTTGCAGATTATACAAACTTATTTTATTCATCTACTTCTATCGCAGAACTCTTCGAAACTGCAGGTATTGAACTTGAAAAACTTAATACTTGGTTTAAATCTAACAAATTATCATTGAGTACAGAAAAAACCAACTACATTCTATTTCACACCAATCAAAGGAAAAAATCTATACCAATTCCATTACCGTCTCTAAAAATAGAAAATAAATTTATAGAAAGAACCAAAGCAACAAAATTTTTAGGAATACTTATCGATGAGAATATTTCATGGAAAGCTCACATAAACTTATTAAATATCAAAATAAGAAACAACATTTGCATGCTTTACAAAGCTAGACCAATGCTACCCCAAAAAAATTTAAAGCTACTTTATTTCTCCTTCATTCAAA